TACATTCTACATAATGGCTACTGAGGCTTCTTCTTCGTCTACTGCTTAGCGGTAGCTTGCATCGAAGTGTTGTTTTGAAATACTGCCCTCTAGCGGTGAGTTTTCATAACACATGCGGATCTTTTTATTATTTGACTTTATTTATGTCACTTGAATAGACCCTTACTCTGTTATAAACAGAGATGGGAAGTAGTGGAGTACAAATACTTCGTTACTGTACTTAAGTACATGTTTCTGGTATCAGTACTTTACTCCACTATTTATTTTATCTGACGACTTTTTACTTTGACTTCTTACATTTTGAACACAAATACCTGTAGCCTACTTTCTATTTCTTACATTTTCCAAACAGGCTGGTTCCTTTAGTCTGAATGTGTGTTTGATGCGTGATCATTATTCTTTAGAGTCATTGCGTGCCTATTGATTTGAACACGATCCGTGTATCCATCACTTCCCGACTCTCTAAATACGCACTTTTTTTTCAGACTCTCTAAATAACCCTAACCCATTGGCGCAAAATAGGATTAATGTTTGTTATTTTGAGAAATTAAAACATTAATGTGGAGGAGCAAGCTACCCGCAATAAAAAGTGGCGACAGATAACCCACAGGTACCCAGAGGTGTAAAGTAACTAAGTAGATTTACTCAAGTACTGTAATTAACTACAATTTTGAGGTACTTGTACTCTCCTTGAGTATTTCCATGTTATACTATTTTGTAGGCTACTTCTACTCCACTACAGTTCCGAGGTAAATGGTGTACTTTTACTCCACTACATGTATTTAATACCTTAAATTACTTTACAGATATGGATGAATGATGTGAAATATAATCAAGTGTTAAATCAGACTTTAGTTCCACCTGGAGTAAATCCACCAGCTACCCTGCAGTATACGGGACGGGTGGCGCAGTAGTCTGTGCATCCGATCATCAGATCAAGGGGGAGTGCTGGGGAACTCCAGTTCGAAACCCGCTCCTGCCGCCACTGCGTCAGGCCGTTGTGTCCTTGGGCAAGACACTTCACCCGGATTTGCTCCTGTGGGTAATGTCCACAGTACATGTATAATACCAATGTGTACCTGTAAAAGCGCCTCGATGACCTCGAGGCGTGAAGATGGACGGTGTGGCGCAGTGCGCTGCGCAATGATCATCAGATCAAGGGGTGAAACCCGCCGCTGCTGCGTCTGTAAAGCCGGTGTGTCCTTGGGCAAGATCTGAACTTGCTCCTGTGGGTATTGTCCACAGTATCTGACCATTGCATGTATCATATATGTGTAATGTCATTGATAAAGCGCTATAATAAATGTAAGGAATTATTAATTAATTATTATACAAAGTCATTCAAACTAGCTGCACCTTCACCAGCTTTGAGAACACTTTCATGATCAATCATTATAAAACATATCATATATATTATTCTGAAATGGACCAATCTGCACAACGACTACTTTTACTTTCACTATATTTTGATGAGAATACTTTTCTACTTTCACTTGAGGAACATTTTGAATGCAGGACTTTTACTGTAACAGAGTATTCCTACACTCTGGTACTTCTGCTTTTACTCAAGTACAAGATCTGAGTACTTCTGCTTTTACTCAAGTACAATATCTGAGTACTTCTACTTCTACTGAAGTACCAGATCTGAGTACTTATCCCACCCCTGGTTGTAAATTATATCTTTTAAATGTAATTTCTATTTGTGTAAAATGTATACTGTTTATTTGTATTGTATCTGTATTTGCACTATTCAATGTTATTAACCGAAAATAAGTGCCTTAAATGTTGAACATTTGACACAGAGGTGTTCCGCAAAGAAGAAAACAAAAACAACCTGACAACATTAATCTGAACCAGAGTGATGGCTTATTGATTTGTAATACCAGTGATATTGATTTAGGCAAGGCAAGTTTATTTATATAGCACTTCAAAGTGCTTTACAAAAAATGAAAGACATTAAGAAAATGGCATTTAAAATCAGTCATTAAAAAGAAAAGCTAATAAAATAAACATTAAAAGAAAAAATACATGGATAAAGGTTACAGTGCAGTCTAAGATATGAATAGTTCAATTAAAAGCAGCGACAAAAAGAAAAGTCTTCAGCCTGGATTTAAAAGTAGTCAGAGTTGCAGCGGACCTGCAGGTTTCTGGGAGTTTGTTCCAGATATTTGGAGCATAATAACTGAACGCTGCTTCTCCATGTTTAGTTCTGACTCTGGGGACAGAAAGCTGACCAGTCTCTGAAGACCTGAGAGATCTGGATGGTTCATCATTTAGCAGGAGGTCAGAAATGTATTTTGGGCCTAAACCATTCAGAGCTTTATAAACCAGCAGCAGTATTTAGAAATCTATTCTTTGACACACAGGAAGCCAGTGTAAAGACTTCAGAACAGGAGTGATGTGATCCACTTTCTTAGTGTTAGTGAGGACTCGAGCAGCGGCGTTCTGAATCAGCTGCAGTTTACCATGTTGCCTTATTTGGTCTACTGTCGAAACTCAAGTTTGTTATACTGTTCACCCTAAAGTTGAAACATTTTAATATTTGGGAAGAAACTGTGTTTTTTCAAGCATCTGTCAGTGTAAAGCTATTTTGTGAAATATATATTCACTGTTATATTTAATACAGTGAAACCCAGTCTGCTTGTTGGTTGAGATGGTGTTCTTAATGGTCTAATCTGCATACTTAGACATCTTGCGTTTGTGTTATATTTCCACCCTTGAAGCTCACTAGACTGTTGAATTTCTGTTACTGTTCACTCTAAACGTTTTAAATGTGTAAACACTCAAAAGTTATTCTTTGAATGAACTTGATTAAATCATGGACAGTATTTCCACATGATGAAATGGCTTTCTTTCAGCTTTAAGCAATTACGTTGACCCAACCCAGGTCAATCAAGTTCGTAACAAACCTTATACATAAATAGTATCAATCCTAATAGATTACATTGACCCAACTCAAGTAAATCAAGTTGGTAACAAACCTTATAAATAAATAGTATCAATCCTAATAGATTACGTTGACCCAACCCAAGTAAATTAAGTTGGTAACAAACCTTATACATAAATAGTATCAATCCTAATAGATAACGTTGACCCAACCCAAGTAAATTAAGTTGGTAACAAACCTTATAAATAAGTAGTATCAATCCTAATAGATTACGTTGACCCAACTCAAGTAAATTAAGTTGGTAACAAACCTTATAAATAAGTAGTATCAATCCTAATAGATTACGTTGACCCAACCCAAGTAAATTAAGTTGGTAACAAACCTTATAAATAAGTAGTATCAATCCTAATAGATTACGTTGACCCAACCCAGGTAAATCAAGTTCGTAACAAACCTTATACATAAATAGTATCAATCCTAATAGATTACGTTGACCCAACCCAAGTAAATTAAGTTGGTAACAAACCTTATAAATAAGTAGTATCAATCCTAATAGATTACGTTGACCCAACCCAAGTAAATTAAGTTGGACCAATCAAATTGCTTAATCTTGAAAGAAAGTGATTTAATCATGTGGAAATATTGTCCATGATTTAATTACGTTCATTCAAAGAGTTATTTCTTTGAGTGTATGAGCAGTTTTAGCATCACCAGCTTTTCCAAAACCGAAATATGGGAAGAGTTTCTCAGTGAAAGTGTCTCTGAGAGTGCAGATGGGAGTCATGTGTTCAGGGTCGTAGAAGCACACCTCCCCCCTGTCATAGTCCAGCTGGACTCTGATCCTCTGGAGATTCTTCTCCACTCTGACAGTCTCACCAACACCATAGAGTATCTTCCACTGCTGTGTGCTAAACACCAGATTCCATCTTTTGGAGAGGCACCTGGTATCTCTCCCTTCCTGTCAGCTGACTCTTTAGTCAAACCTATAATCCAGTCAGGATGATCTCCCACCTCCACCTCCCAGCTGCGTGTCTCCCTGAGCTGAAGCCCTCAGAGCCCAGAACATCAGCATACTGAGTGTATCTCTCTGGATTATCAGGAAGCTGCTGATCTTTGTCTCCACGTCTCACACTGATCAGATCATCAGACAGAGAGAGCCATCTGTGTGCAGTGTTTGGGTCCAGAAGGACAGGACTGAAGTGGACCTGGTCCTTCATCTTCTCCCAGACTCTGAAGGACAGGTTGCCCAGGTGTTTGGTCACATCTGTCAGCGCTCCTGAGAGCAGCTGTGGGTCTGACAGTGAGCTCTGGACTCTGGCTCTGCTCTGAGTGGCTTTATAACTGCTGAGGAAGGGCACGTTGAGTTTCTGCAGCTCTTCTTCAACAGCAGAGATACTGTGTGACAGAGAGGAGATGTGCTCCTGAATGCTCTTCATCTCTCTGCTGATAGTCTTCCCTTTCTGCTCCTCTTCCTCCCTCAGAGCTGCCAGTCTGGACTCCTCTTCCTCTTTCAGGAACTGATGGAGCTTGATGAACTCTGCTCTGATCTGCCTCTCTGTGGACAGCAGCTGCTTCTCAGACACTTGAATCACTTCCTTGTATGTTGTCTCCACTCCTTTGTATTTGTCCCTCTTGTCCTGCAGAGACTCTAAGTCAGATTTCAGCAGGTCCTTCAGCTCACTGACTGCTTGTTCTACAGGAACCACCTTGTGACCCGGGTGGAGAGAAAACTCACAGACAGGACACACAGCTCTCTCTTCATCCATACAGAACAATCTAGGCTCTTCTGGATGTTTACTACACACCACCTCCACCTTCTTCTCTCCTTTCTCTGTCTCAGATGATCCAGCTTTCTGTCTCTCAGCAAAGGAGTCAGACAGTTCCTTCAGTCCAAAGTTCACCACAGGATCTTTGTAGGACTTTCTTTTACAAATGGGACAGTTTTTGTTCTTACTTTGTTCCCAGAATGTCTGCAGGCAGCTCGAACAGAAGCTGTGGTTATAGCCCAGAGACACAGGATCTCTGAAAGTCTCTGAACACACATGGCAGCTCAGGAAACTTTCAACAAGAGCGGTTTTCTCAGCCATTTGGTATTAAAGTTATTTCAGGACTCACCAACTTACAGTCTCTCCACTTCTCCCCACATATACTCCAAACGTGTCTCCGAGCAGAAATCTCACACCCTGTGATGGCGTCTCAGCGCTGTTCAACAATGTCTAAATCCACTTTTGTTTTCTCTCACCTCCGTCACAGGGTGAATGATCAACATCAGGAAATGCTGCTATGTCATTTATTCACCAGCAGATGGAGTCAGGATGTCTTTCAGAGGGAAATGTCCTTTGGTATTCAGTTCAGGATGGTGACTTTGTCCAGGTATCTGTTGAAGAAAAACACATACAATTTAACACGTTTAAAAAAACAACAACGTAGGATGAAAAGGAAAATGCTCATTTATAAAAGTTTGAAGTGGACAGTTTGTGTTCTTACTTTGTTCCCAGAATGTCTGCAGGCAGCTCGAACAGAAGCTGTGGTTGCAGCTCAGAGACACAAACAAAAACTCACTTCGTTATATCTTCATTCCAATGGAAGGAGAATCTGGCAGTGAGAAAAATATAGCACTTATTGAACATTAGAGCATTTAAACATGTCACAGTAAAAGCACAAAATCCAAATATGAACGTGAAATGAGAATAATATGTCCTTTTTTAAAAACTACAATAAAGAGTCGAGCTTTTTCAACAATTTAAGCTGAAATAATTCTAATAATATGATTAGTAAATTAAAATGGGCCTTGTGCTTTCTCCTTCCTTCACGGCCTACAGTTGTGTGGATTTAGAGGACAGTTATCATTTGAAGTCACATGATCTATCCGCTTATCCATCAACTTTCTCACTGAAGGTCAACAAAAACAAGATTCTTACCTGCTGTAAAGTTTCTCTTTAATTCTGCATTAAAAACCGTAAAACTATTTATTAAATACACTTTAAATATACAAGAGTTTATTTACCATCAGTCTTCATATACTACCCAACACGACACATGATGTACAGTGGAGGAAGTACTGCACTTAAGTACACATTTGAAGGATTGAGGTATTTACCTGTTATGTATTGTTTTTTTTTACTACAGTGCATCTTATATGACTGCTTTCATTCATTTGAGATGCATATGTCATATTTATGATCAGTGTATAAAATATAAATGTGTATTGATGATTTGAATGTAAACACTTTAGATAGTACTTTTATTTTTTATATTTAAGTTCTATTTCTTGCTTAAACGTCGGCATTTTTACTCTGCACACATGACATTTGTTGTAACAGTAATTTTTGATTGTGCTGCTTTGTTAATAGTTCTATCGCTCGAAGTGGAGTCGAAAGAGATGAGTTTTCAGTCTGCGCCGGAAGGTGTGTAAGCTATCTGCTGTCCTGATGTCAATGGGGAGCTCATTCCACCATTTAGGAGCCAGGATAGCAAACCCACGTGTTTTTGCTGTAATAAAATTCAATAACGTGCTTTAACCACTAGGTGTCCCTTTCTATCAGCTGTGCACCGTTATGGTGTAAATATAACCTATCTACCAATTGGATCAAATATAAAAGTCAGCCGAATTTGTGTTGATACTGCAAGGAGACGTATTGTGTGAAAAGAAATGTAAGATGTTGTATATATTTATGTTATATTTATGATCCACGTCATGTTTTCAGTTTTGACGGCAGTTCTTCCTGTTTGTCTAGAAGTCTTCTCAGCAGGGCTCTATAAATAGAGAACTACGGCAGATATGTAATATTTAATGCAACCGAACCGTGTATTACAATGCCGTTATGTGATGACTTTCAAAGAGAAAAGCAAGCACACATTTTTTAAAAATGTTTTCGGATTTCACATTGCATAAACACCATATCCCAGCATGCATTGCGACTCAAACATCCAATCACCGAGCTGAGGATCTTGTCTACGTCTGTTTCCGGTATTGTTTATGACGGATGTATTTTGTTATACACACATTCCTTCACATTTAAATTTAAATTTACATTAAAGTCTTTCGTGAGGCCCTCTACAATGTTTTTAGATATAACTAGGGTTCTCGTTGAAGAGTTTGTAAATTAACATGAACCCAAGCTGTTGCCTGGCAACGCAATCGCACAAAGTCACGTCTGTTAATTCCACAACCACACACATAGATTAACATCGATTTAATACATTAATGTAGCCTTTTTTTCTGATAAAAGAGGTGTCGACCAGCTGGGGCAACAAGAAAATCCGCAAAATCGAGTCTAACTATTACAAAATAAATAATTATTATATTAATATTGACAATAACAACCGACCGTCGTGGTAGAGCATAGAAAGGTGTAATCCCGCCCATCTACTTCCGCCCCATGGGACCTTATTTCGGAAAAATTATTTATTGAAGTCAATGGGGAGAGAAAACTTATCTTTCGATCCCGTTTGAATTGTGCAATGAATTACACATATGATGTTTGTCAATCTTTAAAATCATTTCCATGTCAAAAAAGTCAGAGTTTGTCGTAAAGACTATGAAAAATACGCAACTAGAAAGACTACAAATCCCAGAGTCCCGTAAGTGATGTCATAATTGTTTTCCTCCACTAAATATAAGAGATATAAGATCACTTTAACAATATGCCTGTGTGCTTTGTACCAGGCTGTAATCATACCAACAATGGGTCTTACTCGTTCTTTCGCTTCCCGTCTGATGAAAGGACCAGGAGTGGCTGGCTGGATCAAGTTAGCTACCTAGCTAGTAGCAAGCACGTTAGTTAGCATTACAGCCGGCTTAGCCTTGTCATTTTTATCAGCCTTAACATGAAGTAACATTAAGTTAACCAAAGTGTTAAACAGTAGAGTGTTAACTGTGATGGTTATTCTCGCGTCCAGGAAAGAGAAGCTTAAAAAGGAGACTAAATGGAGTCTCTGAGATGTTTTCAAATTGGTACTTTAATTAATAAAAGGCATGGTAAAGTCACAAACAGGATATTTTCTGGCAGAAAAGCAGCTGTCTCTGGCCCTCGCTAGCAGAGAAAAGAGCCCGAACCGCTCAGGTGCTGCTCTTATATAGCTTCTGCAGGCTCCTCCCTGCGGGCCGGCCCTCCACATCTTAATATCCGTTGTTACTTTCAAACAGAGGATTCAGGCATTGTACATTCAATATATACTTAAACACGCCTCTTCTCCTCATATTGTCTTTCATCACTTTTCCTTTAACACATTCTAAACGTTGTAGTTAATATTCTAAAAAATACAGAAAATACTTCACGGCTGGTTTGGTTTCTGGTCATTCCGGATGTTGTCACATCTTACCCACGTCTGTAAACAATAACTTTATTCAAATAAACTATACCTTCATTTCATATTCAGCAATAATAATACGTCTATAGTTGCAGTGTTAAAATCAGTAGGTTTCGGTGTCATTTCGCTACTAAATTAACCTCTATAAGAAATGGTAAACTAGCCACATGCTAACCGGAGATGAAGGATTTTCAGAATAAAAGCTTAACTGGTTGTGCACAATAATTTTCAGTTTTTTCAGTATAAAACAGCATTTAAACTGAAGGTACATTTAAGGTACATTATGCCATCAAAACATTGATTTTAATTTCTAACAAGAGTCGTAGTCATATTTCGTGAACCCTTTGAAGAGTACTGTCACGCCGGTGTGATCATTCTATAATACACCTTTAAGCCCGGATGCCCCCCGAGGGAGACATGCTAATGCAACATTAGCATTGGTGATCTTTTATTACTTCATGCTATCTGCACAAATGGTTAACATTGAACATTAAAAAGATCAGGCAGTTCAGGAAGAATTGAAGGCAGGCAGGCAGCTTTGCATGACATTCTTCTGGACGTGTTTCATTGTGGTGATAGTGAGGGTAGTCAATCCCTTGTTTGGCAAGACAATAGTGACGGCCATCTTGGTGACGTGTGTTTTTGTGTGAGACCAGAGATGTAGTTCATTGAGCGGTTTCACACAAAAAAAGTCTTACTTCACAGTTTTACGGCAAAACATTTTTTTTTTTTTGCAAAATTATCTTTTAAATTGACAAACATCATATGTGTAATTCGTGGCACAATTCAAACGGGATGGAAAGATAACGTTTCTCTCGCCATTGACTTCAATACTTAATTTTTTCCGAAATAAGGTCCCTTGGAGGTCCACCGGAAAGGGAGGGACTTCGCCACTCTATTTGCTCGGCATTTCCGGGTATTTCTCCACTCGTTGGGCCCATGGATGTATAATAAGAACTGGATACAGCGTGGGAGGCGGGGCCTCATTCATTCCTATGAGAGTTGCTCATTAGCGCATGATGACAAAATGGCCCAACTTTTGAGAGAGCGAAACGTCACAGATTACCCGGCATGCCTGAGAAGTACCCGTATGTGCACTCATAGAGCATGCGCAACTTTAACCACGCCGCCCAAAAGGCTCGTTCACATTAAGCACGTGAATTTGCGTACACGTAACAGCACCGCGCGTTCATGACAGCATGGTACTGGATTTATATTAACGAGGCGGCAGTTAGCAGCTAGCGGCTAGCTAGTAAATTATGCTAAGTTACACATCAATCGTTATGTACTTTTATATTACGCTGACATCAGGATCTAGTGATATCCAAGCAACAGAGCTTCATTTAGCATGATACTTGTGTGGGTTGCACATGAAACCACTTGGTAATATATAAACATGTATATGTTGAAGCCTGTTATGATCAATTGTGAGTTAAAACTTTATCTAAAAAGTAAAGCTGATGATGGATTACTGTGGTGGAGTTAAAATAACAATAGCCTATTTCTTTTTCAAATGTGATGGAGTAAAAGGATAGTAACTGATTATTCATGTTAAGTAGCCCACAAGTAACTAAAACAATTGCAAGTGCAATAAGAAGCTACAGGAACGTTAATCTACGTCGGTAATATTAACTTTATTTAATACAACATTTACGGTACAAGATTTACATCATACAGCCCATGTAGTATAATATTTTACAAATGATGAATTACAGCAAACATGTGCAATATATCCATTATTACAGCTCTGTGGGATGGCAGTAAGGCGATATGGTCCGTTGTTATTGTGCATCCATGGATAAAGAGAAACTCATGTAGTACTGAACACGTAACATGAACGTGCCGGGCGGCGCGGTCCCGTGGGTTAGATGCACGTTCATAATGCCGAGGGAAATACCTCAGAATAACGTTATTAGCACATTTTTACAACTTGAGGAACGAATGTTTTTAATAAGGGCTATACAAACGTTCATACTGGGTAGTTTATTTAGTTTAAAAAAAATTATCCAACGAGTTACAGACCACTCTTTCCCCATGTAAGTCAATGGGAAAAAGTGTTTCCGGGCCCAGCAACCAAAAGGAAGTGTAGTACCGCCGTTTGACCAGCACGAATATTCTCATCAGACTCCGGCGCACTTCCTGGGGGCTTGGTTGGGCCATGTTAACAATACCGTGTAACTGTCACGTTTGAAGGGACGAAATCGTGACATCTTCACGTCTCCCAGCGTGGTAAATCGTCACATGTTCACGTCTTGCCGTGATACCGGGTTTGATTGATTGTTTGATTCAGACTGATTTGTTGTTATTTTGTAAATAAATACAAAGGGGTTGGCTCTCACAGACACATTTTTTAAATATTATTCAAAACATGGAAAATCTAAATGTGTTTTTTTCAACCAATATCATGATGGAATATTGCATACTTTATCTGTTATAAGGTTAGAGTGATGTATAGCTAAATACAACAAACTAAAAGGGTTGAAGCACACAAACTCGTTTCATTGTTTTATAAGTTAGTTATAGTATCCAGGTATCACTAGCTATTAAAATATCTACACTGTGAATTTGAAAATAATGAAAATTAAATGATCACATTATATCATTAAATTCATAGGTACAAAGTACATTTACTCAGGTACTGTACTTAAGTACAATTTTGAGGTACTTGTACTTTACTTGAGTATTTCCATTTTATGCTACTTTGTTCTTCTACTCCACTACAGTTCAGAGGTAAATGGTGTACTTTGACTCCACTACATGTATTTAATACCTTTAGTTACTTCACAGATCTGGATGAATGATGTGAAATCTAATCAAGTGTTGAATCAGACTTTAGCTCCACCTGGAGTAAATCCACCAGCTACCCTGCAGTATACAAAGTCATTCAAACTAGCTGCACCTTCACCAGCTTTGAGAACACTTTCATGATCAATCATTATAAAACATATCATATATATTATTCTGAAATGGACCAATCTGCACAACGACTACTTTTACTGTCGCTACTTTCACTATATTTTGATGATCATACTTTTCTACTTTTACTTGAGGAACATTTTGAATGCAGGACTTTTACTGCAACAGAGTATTCCTACACTCTGGTACTTCTACTTTTACTCAAGTACAAGATCTGAGTACTTCTACTTTTACACAAGTACAAGACCTGAGTACTTCTACTGTTACTCAAGTTCATAATCTGAGTACTTCTACTTTTACTCAAGTACAAGATCTGAGTACTTCTACTTTTACTCAAGTACAAGATCTGAGTACTTCTACTTTTACTTAAGAACAAGATCTGAGTACTTCTTCCACCTCTGAGTAAATGTGAATGATCAGATGTTAACATCTCCTTGTACAGTTGCAAGAAAAAGTATGTGAACCCTTTGGATTCTCCACACATAGCGTTGTGTGTTCCTTCCAAACAACTCAACTTTGGTTTCATCTGTCCACAGAATATGTTGCCAGTAGTGCTGTGGAACATCCAGGTGCTCTTTTGCAAACTTCAAACGTGCAGCAATGTTTTTTCTGGACAGCAGTGGCTTCCTCCGTGGTGTCCTCCGTGGTGTCCTCCCATGAACTCCATTCTTGTTCAGTGTTTTACGTATCGTAGATTCGTCAACAGAGATGTTAGCATGTGCCAGAGATTTCTTTAAGTCTCTAGCTGACACTCTAGGATTCTTCTTCACCTCATTGAGCATTCTGCGCTGTGCTCTTGCAGTCATCTTTACAGGACGGCCACTCCTAGGGAGAGTAGCAACAGTGCTGAACTTTCTCCATTTATAGACAACTTGTCTGGACTGATGAACATCAAGGCTTTCAGAGATACTTTTGTAACCCTTTGCAGCTTTATGCAAGTCAACAATTCTTAATGGTAGGTCTTCTGAGAGCTCTTTTGTGCGAGGCATGGTTCACATCTGGCAATGCTTCTTAAGAATAGCTAATTCAAAACTGGTGTGTATTTTTTATAGGGCAGCTTTAACCAACACCTCCAATCTCGTCTCATTGATTGGACTCCAGGTTGGCTGACTCCTGACTCCAAGTAGCTCTTGAAGAAGTCTTTAGCCGAGGGGTTCACATACTTGTTCCACCCTGCACTGTGAATGTTTACATGGTGTGTTCAATAAAACCATGAAAACATATAATTGTTTGTGTGGTATTAGTTTAAGCAGACTGTGTTTGTCTATTGTTGTGACTTAGATGAAGATCAGAACACATTTTATGACCAACTTATGCAGAAATCCAGGTAATTCCAAAGGGTTCACATCCTTTTTCTTGCAACTGTACATGCGCTAAGACGGTCAAAAACCATATGCCCTTCCGGGGTCAGTCACACCCAATCCGGAGACAACACACACACCTTAAATACCTGTGCCCTAGGTAATAGGATAACAACACACTAATGGCACACAGCGAAAAAACTAAAAATGGTGACGACTTGAACCCAAACATGACACTTTTTTAAATGGCTCTTACAAAAGGTGATATTATTCTCTCTTCAGGTCCTCCTCAAAAGCCTCTCCCTGCAGATCCCCAGCCTCCTGAAGTCACGTGTCGACCCTCAGCCGGGACCACAGATGCCGGGCAGGCCTCTCGTCTCCTGGCTGAGAGGAGGAGAGAGGCGAGGCAACAACGAGAGAGAGAGGCGAGGCAACAACGAGAGAGAGAGGAGCAGGAGCACCTGCAGAGAGAGGAGGCAGAGAGGCGAGGAATATGTCCACTAAAGAGACAGAAACACTGTAGAGTGGGGCAGGCATGACGTATTTTAGTAGGCTGACCCAGAAGTAAGCGTCGCAAGGGCTACCTCTACAAAAAGCAATGAGATTTTTCCATTTAATTTAGGAATGTTTCTTAAAATAAGCATGTTTATGATACTGACATGTTCTGTTCAGCAGGATGATCTCCACATCTTTATGATTTTTGAAGTAAAAGGCTAACGTTAGGCTATAAGCATGTAATGTCAGTGAATCCAATGTACCAAGATCCTAGGACACTTGCAGTCTGCCGGGTATTTTGGTTCTGACTCCATAACACTTAGTGAAGACCCCCAGGGACATGTCCAACTTGAACAAGGGTTTATTGAGAGTAAATGACAGCGTCACGGCAGATTCATTCCATCCACATTGCATCTCAACCGGTCCGCTAACGACTTGATTCAAACAGTTGTCCATTTGTTTCAACACCATCATTAATTAGAGGATTAGGGCAACATGTGATTTCATTTTTATAAGACTTTAATCGCAGAACTAATACAAAAAGTTCACTATTGGTCAGATCGTACCAACATATTCACACGTGACCCTTATGCTCTTCCGTAGTTAACAACTCTTGTCAAATGAACGAGTACGTTTTAACCTCAAAGAGACACAAAGTCTAAGGAGAGAAATTGCTAAATTACCAAAAATAGATGCCAAACGACTAAAATAGGGACAAAACAAGACACAAAATATCAGTACGTTTTCTTCCAAGTTATTATTAATGCGAAATGTTATCTTACCAAGTCTTCGTCACACAACACCTGACAGTGTTCAAAGTAATAAAGCTCCATGGTGTGTGGACAGCCTCTCCTTTCCCTGCATGTCCCCCTAATGGAAAGTCTCAACATGGATCATACATGTTCTTATCTCTTAAGCTGCTCTGAAACTTTGAAAATAATGTTTTTGTGTGTGTCCCTGCAGAGGTCATCTGAGCAGCTGCACAGACGTTCACACACTTGATTGGAGAGCTGTGTTTTCTCCGTGAGTTCCTGCAGCTCAGCCATGTTTCTGCACACTGAAATGTAAGCGTGAGCATGCAAGATTCCAGCCTCGCCTCTCACTGAGACGTCAGCTTCACTTTTTCTCTGTGTGTGTAACCAGTGGCACAAATACTGGGCAAGTTCTTTACTGCTTCCTTTCAGTGCAGAACATATACAGTAATAACCATGTAGACAGTGGAGACGATGGAGAGTGTGAAGTAATAGGAATAGCTCTTCTTACAATCATGTTAGCCATATGCTTTTTGCTTATTCCTGATGTGTCCAAGTACTTTTCCTTCCTTAGTTTTCCACTTTTAGATTAGTGCTATGAAGTTAGCACACAAGAGTTAAATTGTACCCGTGTAAATTCCTCTCCTACCTGTTGATTTTGTGACGTATAGCAAATCACATATTTCAAAGCTGCTAAGGAACTTAGTTTCCAAAGACTTCAGTTTTAGTGAGTGTTGTTTTAGAGAACTCGATGCACGGAGCCTTTATTGCACTAACAGTCTTCTCTGTTTGATATCGCGCGCATTCGCTTTACAAAGCAACGTTTGGAGGCGTAGAAGTTTAAGAGAGTTTATTATAAGAAAAGCATATATAAAAAACAAATGTATCCAATCCTAAATATCCGATTGCTTGTAACTATCACGTGTTAAGAGTTGATACTATGCCGCTTCTCTTGTTTTTCACTTAATTTGTTGTTGACTGTAAGCATAAAAACTAATAAACACTTTGAAACATGGAGAAAAGCTGCTTCTTCTTCAGTGCTGCTCTCAGTGCTCGTCTCTCAGTGTTTGTGTGTCAGAGGTCGCGTTAACCGAATATTTTCCGTCAATGACGGATTTTTTCTAACAATGACGGAAAAATCTGAAAGCAGTCCGTCATTTTGACAGATTAGAACACAACTCGGAACAGCGCCAAAATGTCCACCAGCAGCCCACATTATATTACATCCTTAGTGGCCAGGTCGACTCAGGGCGATCTACACTGTAGTCTGTAACTATTATTTAGTCATTCACACCCCTGTCCTGTTGGTGGCGAGTGTGTGCATATTAAGTAGCTATTGTCTAGTCTTGTTTTTGACCTCGTTGTTTAACCGGCTTTAGCAATCGCAAAATGTCACGGCAGCTGATCGTCCGAAGCTTTTTTAATAAGCCCAGTAATTGTGATGGTGCGGATAAACGAGGTGAAAAGAGGGATTGATGCGGTGGAGGATGAAGGACAAGCCAGTAAGACTCAAACTGACAACGTTCAGCCAGCGGCAGAGGGTCAAGCAAGTGGCAAGGAGTTGAAGCGGGAGTACCGTGTTCAGTGGGAGCAAGAGTTTAAGTGGCGGAGGAGGGAAGATGACAAAATGTTCTGCGACATCTGTAGAAAAGCTAAGATGAGTAACGGATTTGTCCGAGGGTGCACGGCAGTGGCGGTTCTAGAACATTTTACATGGGGGGGCAAAGGGGAGGCAAGAGGTCATTATATACAGGTATTTTATACTGTATACAACCTATTTATTGTTAATTCATGCCCTAACACAAGTGTTCTTAATGCACAAGAGAAACAAGGTGTTCAGACAAACTATCGGGTGCCCTTTGAGTCCCCCAAGCTTACCTCAACCATTTTAAATGAAAGGAAACTACTAAATGTATTTTAAAGCAATGAATTAATGGAACAGGTTGTTTTGCATTACAATGTAAAATTAAATATATATTTTGTTTTAAAAAAAATTGGTTGTCTTAGACCAGGGGTGCCCAACCAGTCGGGAGATTCCCAGTCGATCGCGAGATGTGTCTAAAAATAGAACAACAATATTCTGTTTTATCGTTAATGTCCTGTAACATAATCTTCCTGTGCCAGAATAATGCACTTGAACGCATCAAAGCTTTGGGATTGGCCGCCGTGACCCCATGTGTCGGGGCGTGGCTAGTGGGCAGTGCACTAATTCGCTAACGTTGTCCGTATCAACAGGAGTGACAGTCCGCACACAAACAAGACCGCAATTATGGCAGAAGCAAAACATATATAATTTTAACTCCGAGTGGGAGGATGATTATTTTTGTATTTATTCCAATTCAAAGTCCATCTGAAGAAGGGTAATTTAGGAGCGGCATTTCAAAACAGTGCACAAACGCTACGAGACGGAATTCCCTCCTAATTCTGCCCTACGCTCCCAAAAGGGGAGGGGCCTGAAAGGACAGCTAAATGCACAGCAGTCCATTTCCACCAGGCCCAACAACAAGAGCAAGGCTGCTACCAGAGCATCTTATCGTGTCAGTCACGTTCTTGCGAAACACATGAAGTCTTTCAAAGACGGCGAAGTTGTGAAAGAAGCTTTCCTGGAGGCTGCGACGCGCTTTTGGGGGACAGTAAAAATAACAGCAGCATTTCAACAGGTTTTTGATATAATAAAAACTCAAGTTAGATACCGTTATTAATCAGCTGTAAGTTTGAGTTTGTTTGAACTTATTCATTATAATTATTGTACAAAATGGTATAAGAATGCAAACTTAAATTGATTATAGTCTATTATCAATTCAGTTAAGAAACTAGTGTTGGTTGCATCCTATTTTAAAGGCATTTATTTTTATACTCTACTAAAATGAAACAAAAAAGGGTTTGATTCTATTAATGTTGTCTTTTTTATTGCACTGTTGCAGCAGATTCCTGTGTAGCTTCAGATCTGAGTTGTCTTATTAGTAAGCCTAATTTATACTTTTGTAGCAACACTATTTTTATATAATGGCAAAGAAAGGGTTCAGAGTCTTTTCTTTTTCCCTGTGTCATATGTGGAAGCACTGTTCAATGTTTCTTGAAAACATTACCCACTGTAGTGACGTGTGAATAAACTCCAACTCTGTTTCAACAACACTGTTGTGTAACTTCAGTTAAATACTTGTGTAGATTAGAAAGAGGTAAGATAAAGGATCTGCAGTATGTTATGAAGTATTAATCGTACAAAGGTCAGTTTTATTCAAGTAGAAGTGTGTATTTACCTGGCTGTCAGTAATGTCCTCTCTATTTGGACTGGTAGATCTCGGCAGACTGGCAACTTTAAAAGTAGCTCTCGGTTAAAAAAAGGTTGGGCACCCCTGTCTTAGACAGATATATTTGCATGTTCTCACTAAGCATTATTACATATTAATTTAATATTAAACAAATCAAAATGGCCAATTATCCCAAAATGTTGCTGCTAATATAATCACATGCTTGTCAACTTTAACTGATCAAAAATCTATTCTGAATAAATACTTGAATTATCTATGAAATTGCAATATTGTCCCTCAGTTTGTTTCAACCCCGTCACGCCATACCATTTACCCTCCTATTAAAATAATGGATCAGTCCATGTGTGGATCAGTCCATGTGTGGATCAGTCCATGTGTGGATCAGTCCATGTGTGGATCAGTCCATGTGTGGATCAGTCCATGTGTGGATCAGTCCATGTGTGGATCAGTCCATGTGTGGATCAGTCCATGTGTGGATCAGTCCATGTGTGATCTGCATTGAGGGAATTACATCACAAAAGTTTCTTCTCTTACCTATATTTCAGTTTTTGTATTTTCAGATTAAGATTGATAAACTCAACATTTCAATATGTTGTATGAATTAATAATAGTAAATAATTAATAGTTTTGAAAAATATTACAATTTTGTAATGTCCTTGACTTCCATGTGGTGCCATATCTTAGCTAAACAAGGTCTCATGCCTACTTTTTGTCAAAAACTTCAACCTTGTTACATTTTTTCAAGGAAATTCCTAGTAATTATTTATATGTTGTGCCTGAGGTGGGAACATGTAAGTAGTCCACTACCAGATGTTATGACCAAACATTTTGGTTTCATTTTTCAAAGATATAAAGACCCAAAAGGCACCCGATTCAGAGAATACTCAGAATTATGCATACTGTACTTAATTATAATTAAGTACACAAATGACATCACCCATCTCTTCAGAGAGCTACAGGTGACCTGTGCAGCAACACATTTCAATCAATATTTGTCAATACTAAGAGCTGCTAGATTGAGCTGCTGTAATAGAATATGTAAGGAGAATAAGAACATACCATGTGGTCCAGCTGGAGTCTCCTCTGCCTCCTGATCCCTGCCTCTGTCCCTCTTTCTGATACTTCATCTTTATTCCTCACATATATTTCTTCTTCTTCACTAATGTCTTCATCTCCTCCTCTTCCTCCTGCTCTGACCCTCCTGGTCTCTTAATCTCTCTTTTCCTTTTCCTCTCTCTGTTCGTCCTGATCACTTCTCATAAATGTCTTTTTGTTGTTGTTGAATCACTCCTATACTCTGGCCTGCAAGAGTCTACTTGTGAAAAGCACTGGTACATATGCTTGTATAACTTTACACGTTAGGGCCATGTAGCCTAGCTAATATGTAGCATATCACATAACATCAGAAAGTATTGATCAAGCGCACACAGGCAGCTGTGTTTGGATCCAGTTTTTACGGTAAAGGATGTATCCTGGTTTAATTGATCTGGCCTCATGGCTGTGATGTGTAGTTTACGTGGATTTAATAGTAGGCTACCGCGTAGTTTAGCAAAGTGATCGATCTCCCAGCTAACGCTGTCTGCGCAGTATTTTGTAACGTAACGCCCCAAACAGCGCCCGTCTGTTAAACGCTATCGATTCAAACGGCAGCGTTTTATTAATATTTAGTTTCAAGCTCTCGTCCTTAGTAAAACAAAATTAGTGGAAAGGGAAATGCTCCCAGGGGAAGCTGATCCATAGGTGCTGGGACAGCTCGCTCCCTCTCTGCAGCGGTGTGAGCCGCGGTCTGTGTGAACGCCGCTCCGCAGTTTAATGCAGGGCCGTAGCTGCGTTTTTAACGGGCCTAAAATGATATTTAAAATGATTCAATTTTAACTAATGTAATGCTTGTTTTGTTGCTTGAGAAGCTTGTGGAAATAGTGTAGGTTTGTTTTAGTACAGTTTTAGGGAAACAAAAGTTAGGGGGGCAGCTGGGGGGGCAAGGCAGCTGCCCCCCCTTGCCCCCCCGTAGATCCGCCTCTGGTGCACGGCGATGCAGAAATCAGCGTTCAGGCTACAGCAGGTCAATTGAGTTGTTCTTGTAAATGTTTTGTTCATATTCTGATTGTAATTGTCTCATTTAAAACGATGGCATTGTTCATATTTGCCTGTTTAGGCACAATGGTCGTGGTGTTTTTAGCGGCCTCTGCCCCCTCTGCTGTGCCGTCAGTGCAGGAAATCATTCATGTTCGTGTTGACATGAAAAGTGACCACACGGTCGGTGTCTCTGTTCATCTTTTTTTTTCTCCATGCCCTTAAAAGTTCTGTATGAATCATTTAAAAAAAATGAATGAATGAGCGTTTGCTGCTCAGTACCCAAACATAAATATTAAATATGTCTCATCTCATCATTAAAACATGAAAAATAAAATGACGGACAACGAAAAAGTCTAACGCAACAACTGGTGTGGAGGCTGTAAAGGGTGAACAGGAGATGGAGAGAGAGGCTGGATCGTCTGCAGCAGCCGTCTGGTTTCCTCCGTCTGATCATGAACCGTCCGGAGCTGATCCTCCACCTCGCCGCCAGACAACAGAGGAGAAGTCTCCATCTGCAGGGAAACACAAGACTCAAACCTCCTGGATCTCAAGGCCTGGTAGTGATTCATTTGTTAAGATATCTACTATGATAAGATGGTGTGAATGGCTGCAGTACTTTGAGCTGCTTTTGGTGGATCTTGTCCCCACTACGGTTTAAAATGGATCAAGAAACGTTCACTAAATAATGAGGACGCTTTTAGAAAGGTTGTTTCGCACAGCAGACAATTTAAAAATGTAGGAGAAACACATTTACTTCGTCTAAAAAAGTAACAGAGAAAAGGGGAAAACCCTAGCCTACTGATTATTAAAGGTCCCATGTCGTGCTTTTCTGGTTGTTACCCGTCCCCTTGTGTTATGAAGCTTGTTCTGCATGTAACGGTCTGCAGAGTCACAAACCCTCAAAGTACACCCTGTAGCGAGTAAAACTCTAACACAGAGAAGACCTGTCTGTGCTGCCCCAGAACGCCTCCTTGGACATTTCTCTTTTTCCATTTGTTTCTTCCGGGAACCAAGTGACGTAACGAAGACTTCCTCACACACACACTCAATCTTTTCTCAGCTGCAGCTCCGCCGATTTCTCCTCCCTGAGACGGCGGGACGCGGCGAGGCTGTGGCCTTCTTAGTGCCGCCATGGCAAACGAAGAGCTGCTCTGACTGCCGTATACCGGCTGTAGCATCAATATACGCCCTCAGGGCACGCACAGGGCACAGCAACTCAGGTGTGCCGCTCTCCTGTGGAATGTTAAAGCGTGCCAGCTGGATAGTTCGATTGGAGTGGGCTAGTGGAAGCACCTTGGGCAGGAACGCCACATTCGGCCAGAGGGTAACGCCCGAGTCATCGGAGTTCCACCTCAGGCATGTACTGCTTACGGAGAGGGCATGAAGCTCTCCGACTCGCTTCCCTGAGGTTACGGCAAGCAGAAATGCTGCCTTCAGGGACAGCCACTTAAGCCCGACCTGGGCCAGGGGCTCGAAGGGCGGAGATGATAGGGCATTCAGCACTAGGGTCAGGTCCCAAGCCGGGGCCCTTGGGGTACTAGGGGGACGCTGCCGTATAGCCCCTCTTAGAAAGAGGGACACCAACCTGTGGCGCCCCACTGTGGCGCCATCGACTCCGACATGTCGGGCAGAGATCGCAGCCATATACACCTTCAAAGTGGAGTGAGAACATCCACTCTCCAGAAGGGACTGCAGGAACTCCAAAATGGTGGCCACGGAGCAATGCCCCGGATTCTCAGCCTTACTCACACACCAGTGGGAGAAGAGCTTCCATTTGCACTCATACTGTGCCCGAGTGGATGGAGCTCTGGCATTCAGGATAGTTTCCCTGACTGATGCCGTAACGCCGCTCAACAGTGGGTTGGGCCCTGCAGAGGCCAAACCCAGAGCTGAAGGCGGTGAGAGTCGGGACGCCAGATCTGACCCTTGAGCTGAGACAGAAGGTCCTTCCTGTCGGGGAGACGCCAAGGTGGGCTGCAGCAGAGACTGCGCAGCAGTGGGAACCAGACTCTCCCCGGCCAGCGGGGGGCGACCAGAAGGAGCCTGTGCCCCTGAGTAAGGACCCTCTGAAGCGTCTGCAGTATCAGAGGCAGCGGCGGGAAGGCATACAGGAGAGTGTCCGGCCAGTCGTGCGCCAGAGCATCCTGACCCAACGGGCTGGTCACCTCCGTCCAGGAGAACCAGAGGGGGCAGTGCCTCGACTCTTCTGAGGCAAAGAGGTCCACCTCGGCCCTGCTGAAAAGGCTCCAAATTGTCTCCACCACCTCTGGGCGAAGCCTCCACTCCCCCGGTGGAGGCTTGCGCCGTGAGAGGAAATCTGCGACCTGATTCAGGTCTCCTGGCAGAAAGACTGCCTGCAGACTGGCGAGGCGGGGGAGCGCCCAAGGCAAGAGGCTCTGTGAAACACGGAGCAGCTGTGTGGACCTGGTGCCCCCCTGGTGGTTGATTTGGGCAACGGCGGACATGTTGTCCGAACGAATGAGCACATGCCTGCCCGCCAGTTGGGGTAAAAAGTGCATGAGTGCGAGCAACACAGCCCGCAGCTCCAGCACATTGATATGGTGTGCACCTTCCTGGGCAGACCACTGCCCCTGCACAGTCCTGCCCTGCCACACCGCACCCCGAGAGACATGCATCCACAGTGACCGTCTCCCGGCGGGATGGGATGGCGCCCATAGGCACACCCATCAGAAGATAGGCCCTGTCCCTCCAGCGGGACAGAGAGTGGAGGCACCGCTGAGACACCCTGACTCTCTTGTGCCTGTGCCGCTTGGCGTCCAAGCGAAAGTTGTTCAGCCACATCTGCATGGGGCGCAGTGATAGCAGGCCCAAGGGCACAACGGCTGAGGCAGCTGTCTGTCTGCCTAAGAGCCGGAGGAACTGGATGTAAGGCACCCTCTTGCCCAGTCTGAAGATGCGAAGGTGGTGGGAAATGTCGTCCACACGACGAGGTGTCAAGTAGGCCCTCATGGCGACCGAGTCTAGGACCATCCCCAGGTAAGTGACCTGTTGGGAAGGGTCCAGGCAACTCTTCCCGGCGTTCACTGTTAGGCCCAACCGGGCTACATGGGATGAGAGGCGCGCCGTATCCTGGGCCACTTGGGCCCGGGACGGCGCGCAAACCAGCCAGTCGTCCAGATATGGCAGGACCTTCATGCCCTGTGCCTGTAGGGGAGCGAGCGCTGCCGCTACAACCCTGGTGAACACCCTTGGAGAGAGGGAGAGACCAAAGGGAAGCACCCGGAACTGATAATTTCGGCCCTGAAAGGCGAACCTCAAGAACTTCCGGTGATGGGATGCAATTGGCACGTGGAAGTAGGCGTCCCTCAAGTCCACGGTTGTGAACCACTCCCCCTGTGTGACAACACGAAGGGTGTCTGCTGTGGCAACCCTGTCTCCTAAAAATTACGTTCCCACAGAACTAAACTGCATTCTGAATTACGTTTAGCTTGAAACGTATTTACTCCCACGTTACGTTCGTTATGAACGTATCTAAAATACGTTTATTTTCTACATATCTTCTAGAAACATATTTTCTCCCACGTTACGTTCCTTATGAACGTATCTTAAATACGTTTATTTTCTACATATCTTTGCCATTTATTGTCTTGCTTATAATAATGATAATAGTCATTTATAAATATCATTTTAGAGCACACATTTGAAATCGAGAATCAGGGCTCGATATATGGTTAAATTAAAATCAGTAGGCGAGGCTGTAATTTCGGCAGCTGTTACTCTCATGAGCGAGGCAGAAAATAATAGTTTGAACATGCCAAAAAGCTGCTGTGTCGTTTATTGCTCCTCAAACATTAAAACAAATCCAGAGTTACTTGTTTCTGTACTTCCTCTAAGAAGAAAAGGACAGTAACAGAAGAGCTCTGTGGCTTCAGGCTTGATCGCCGTTCAAATGACAGCGTTGGTTTCCCCAAAAGTGGGCGGGGCTGTAAAGTGACGTAGATTTTACTATCATCTATTATTCAAAACCATTCTATGTATTCTAACGTAAATTACATGCCAGTGTTTTATCTTTTTATTTATTTGTTTTTATTTTAAATCGTATAAACGTCTGTGAGGAAAATAAATGGGGTTTAGAGCCTCAAAATACTGAAATCTGTATTTTTTAAAATCTTTTCCTTCTAATTTGTTATTCTTTTCTAAATAACACACTGTTATTTACTCAACAATAACACACAATTATCCTTGTTTTTATTTATTTGTTTAATTCTATAATCTTGGGCTTTTTAGCCGTAAATAAAGTCACCGGAAACAGACGGGACATTTCGAGATTTAGGATGGCCGAAGACACTACACTACCCATAATCCCCAGCTATCGTTTGGGACTACAGTCCCGTTGACAAACCCCGTGATGTTGGAGCGGTAGTGCGCCAAGGTTACGCCGAGCGTCAAGCTCTTTGAAATGGAACGAAACCACGGCAGACTATTCAAAACTGGACTCGAATGCCCCCCGAGAAATACACATGCTGGCTATTGTGTTTCGCAACATGTTCTCTATGGCACGTCTCTACTGGGAATTGTAGTTTTAAAAGACGTTTTTCCCAAAATTAGAAGTTGACAGTATTAAACTGTGTACAGCCCTGGAGGTTTAGGCGATAGGAAACACATTGGTGTGTACACATTTAAAACATGTAATTACTAAATGGGTAAAAATCGCTTATATCCATAATGGGCAGCATTAATATATACCCACACGACAGCTTACTTTGTAATTCTACTCCACTACAATTCAGAGGTTAACCTGGTATTTTTACTCCACTACATTTAGTTTAGTTACTTTGCAGATTCTGATTAATGATGTGAAATATAAACAACCCTTAAAGCAGACTTTAGTTACACCTGAGTAAAATTCAGGGTAAGGTGATTGTCAAGTGCCAACAATCAGGAGAGATATTTGATAGGTGGTGCTTGAGAAGACGAAACATTTATCTGCAGATCTCTATAAAGTATATTCATTACTCGTTATTCTCTACTAATAGTTCATTAAAAACTGTATATAATTGCTATTTTGCACATCCCTTTCAAGATTTCAAGATTTTCTAAGGTTTAATGGCATATACACAACTTGGGTCGCAGGTTCCTCAACAGCGTATTACAAGACATCTATCAATATGTGTGTACCTCCACCATTAAACTGTCATATTCTGCACATTTCTTATTCTACCTACATACATAAGAGTATAATTAATGTGTATAATATCAGAAGTGCTTCAACATAGTTAACATTGCAGGAAAGCAATATATTAGACGTTAAGTACTTTGTCAGGCTTAATATTTATCTGTAGATAGATACCCCCAAAGCTTTTTTCTTGTTTAAAATAAGACCTTAACCTAAAGTATTCTTTAATGTGTTAATAAAGGTTAATTCGTTTTTCTGTTTTGCACCTCCTCCTATTAATATCTTTGTACATCCGGCACTAAACTGTTTTATTGTAGAGATCACTTATAGTATCTTCTTGACTTTTTATATTCTATATTTATATCATTGACCTTCTACTTTCCCCCTATGAAAGTATGTACTCTTAATATTGTTTTCATCAAATAACATTATTCAACAAAAATAATTCAATAACGTGCTTTAACCACTAGGCGGTGCACACAAGGTACACACAGCATACTAATAATAACTTTGTATTATTAGTGTAGAACACTTATGTATGTATAACATCTGAAGATGTGTAGTTTTATTCATGTTTTTACATAATTTTACAGGATATTGCTATATTATTTCACATGTTTTACTTCTACACATTAATATCTGATTTGTAAAACATCACAGACAGAAAGGTATATCCGTCATTTAATGGTACGCTATTGAAATTCTGAATCCATAGATGTGTCTCCCATCACCCAAATCCCCTGACTATTCTCTCAACTCAGTATTTACATTCTTATATTCAAAGAAAATCAGTAATATCTTTAAAAACTACAAGTCCTTTTCTATCAGCTGTGCACCGTTATGGTGTAAATATAACCTATTATCTACCAATTGGATCAAATATAAAAGTCAGCCGAATTACTATTGATGCTGCAAGGAGACGTATTTTGTGAAAAGAAATTGAAGATGTTGTTTAATTGTTGATATATTTATGATCCACATCAAGTATTCAGTTTTGGCGGCAGTTCCTCATGTTTGTCTAGAAGTCTTCTCATCAGGGCTCTATAAATAAAGAACTACGGCAGATGTATAATATTTAATGCAGCCGAACCGTGTATTACAATGCCGTTATGTGATGACTTCCAAAGAGAAAAGCAAGAACACTCTGAATTAGGTATTATTTTATTTTTCGTTTTCGGATATCACAACTTATTAACACCATATCCCAGCGTTTATTGCGGCTAAAACATCCAATCAACGAGCTTCAAGCTGAGGATCTTGGGTAATCAGTTCGGTGGGTTTGTGGTGTGTATCGCTCGAAATGTCCCGTCTGTTTCCGGTGACTTTATTTACGGCTAAAAAGCCCAAGATTATAGAATTAAACGAATAAATAAAAACAAGGATAATTGTGTGTTATGGTTGAGTAAATAACAGTGTGTTATTTAGAAAAGAATAACAAATTAGAAGGAAAAGATTTTAAAAAATACAGATTTCAGTATTTTGAGGCTCTAAACCCCATTTATTTTCCTCACAGACGGGAAAAAAGTCCGACATTATACGATTTAAAATAAAAACAAATAAATAAAAAGATAAAACACTGGCATGTAATTTACGTTAGAATAAATAGAATGGTTTTGAATAATAGAGGAGAGTAAAACGTCACTTTACAGCCCCGCCCACTTTTGGGGAAACCAACGCTGTCATTTGAACGGCGATCAAGCCTGAAGCCACAGAGCTCTTCTGTTACTGTCTTTTCTTCTTAGAGGAAGTACAGAAACAAGTAACTCTGGATTTGTTTTAATCTTTGAGGAGCAATAAACGACACAGCAGCTTTTTCGGCATGTTAAAACTATTATTTTCTGCCTCGCTCATGAGAGTAACAGCTGCCGAAATTACAGCCTCGCCTACTGATTTTAATTTAACCATATATCGAGCCCGATTCTCGATTTCAAATGTGTGCTCTAAAATGATATTTTTAAATGACTATTATCATTATTATAAGCAAGGCAATAAATGGCAAAGATATGTAGAAAATAAACGTATTTAAGATACGTTCATAACGAACGTAACGTGGGAGAAAATACGTTTCTAGAAGATATGTAGAAAATAAACGTATTTAAGATACGTTCATAACGAACGTAACGTGGGAGAAGATATGTTTCTAGAAGATATGTAGAAAATAAACGTATTTGAGATACGTTCATAACAAACGTAACGTGGGAGAAAATACGTTTCTAGCTAAACGTAATTGAGAATGCAGTTTAGTTCTGTGGGAACGTAATTTTTAGGAGACAGGGTTGGCTGTGGTTAGCATATGGAAGGGCAGTACCTTCAAGAATCTGTTGATTCCTCTGAGGTCCAGAACTGGACGGAATCCGCCAACTTTCTTGCTCACAAGAAAGTACGCCGAGTAGAACCCCCCGCCCTGAATCAGGGGGTCCACTGGCTTCAGGGCCTAGCCCCCCCTGGGGCCCCAGGCGACCTGGGGCACGAAAGTCATCGGCCGGTTGAGTGGGCCGCTGGGACCTCTGCAGACCACCCCTGTAAGCCGGTGGCTGCTAGAGCGGCCCCTGGGCCTGCTGGGAGTGGCCACGGGTCTGCAAAGACCCGAGAGCTGCTGCCTGGTCTGCCTAGCTTGGGCAGCGCGCTCCAGCGCCTCCAGGGCAGCTGACCCAAACAGCTCCCCTGGCACGACTGGCACGCTACGGAGGACTCTCCTACATGTCTCCGTCAGTGGTGACTGGGCCAGCCAAACCTTGCGACGAGTCTGTACCAGAAAGGACATAACTCGTCCCAATTCCCTAGTCATTAGGGCAAAGGCCTGCAGTGATGCATCACTGAGGCCCAGCAAAGAAGGCTCGGCCGGAGCCTGCTGCAGCGAGGCGGAGACGGCCAGCATTAGATGGGAGAGGGAGTTCCCGATACGACCCATGCGTGCTGCTGCGTCGTAGGCCCTACAGAGCAGCCCATCTGTGACCCTGCACTGAGGCTGAGGGCACCTGACCACAGGCCTGCAGCGCTACTGCTAACTAGCTCAATGCTAATGAAGTTTGCAGAATAAGTACAAAAGCACAGCAAGGGCAACTCCTGGGAGAGGGAGCGGAAACACCTCCGTCACCATAAAAGTTCAAGCCCAAAAAGCTAAACAGACAGTAACGGGACAACTAGGCTGGGAGAGGGAGCGAAAACACTGCCATCACCAACCAAGCCGACACCAACCTGTTCGAACGAAGTCTCTGCGCAGCCAGCCACAGCTCCTGGAGGACGGGTAAACCCGCGGCCCCGACTGGATGAGTCGCGAAGCTGCACGCAGCCAGCTGTTTGCAGAGAATCCTTAACAAATATTCCAACCGAACGAACGCTGTAGGCTACAAAAAATGTAGCCAATGTACTCTCGCGCAGCGAGAAGATGAAAGGAACAGATCCACTGACGACACCGGCTGATATAGCCGGTGTCACGTGGGTCACAGGTGACTTTGTTGGTATTGGTACTCGAGCTGCGCATGCGCGCGATGGACACATCCAGTGCTAAAGCACCGCCTCTGGTGGTCAGTAGGGACGAAATAGAACTGCACGTTTCAGAGTGGCCTTCTATTGTGGCCAGCCTAAGGCACACCTGTGCAATAATCATGCTGTCTAATCAGCATCTTGATATGCCACACCTGTGAGGTGGGATGGATTATCTCGGCAAAGGAGAAGTGCTCACTATCACAGATTCTTTCAGATTTGTGAACAATATTTGAGAGAAATGGTTATTTTGTGTTTATAGAAAATGTTTTAGATCTTTGAGTTCATCTCATGAAAAATGGGAGCAAAAACAAAAGTGTTGCGTTTATATTTTTGTTCAGTGTACTTTACAGAGACGCTGGATGAGAAACCAATGTGAGTTTAAATCTATTCTAGTAGACCTCAACAATGGAATTATGATCAGTAGAAATGGCCATGACCTGGGACCTTTAACGGTTTACCAAAAAGGCCAAAACAAGACCGAAGTAGGAAAAGGGAATACAATAACAAAGAGAGATGCAAAACGTCTGCCAAAGCGTAAAGCAACCAAAAAGAGACCGGATATAACCATAAAGACACAAAGTCTAATAGGAGATGCAAAATGACCAAAAAGAAATGCAAAACTACTAAAAAGGAACAAAACACCAAAAATGAAAGAGAAATTGACCAGAAAAGGATGCAGAATGTCTACAGTGCAAACCATCCAAAAGGAGCCAGGATTAGAACACAGTAAAACACATGAGTCCAAAAGAGTCCAAAAGAACTTCAACACAAAGTGACGCCCGAGGGTAGAACGAATACAAACCTGTCTTGAGGTTGGATATCGTCACTAAGCCAAGCTGCTGGAACTTTAAATCTTTATTTTGGAGAAACACCGACAGGTACTCCAACATGGCGACGTAGTGAGGCTTCAGCAGCTGGAGCGTCTCTCCTGGATGAAGAGTATGAAGACACCGTTTCATAAACCAATCTGTTTACTTCTATTGTTGTTTATTGTTTTGTTTAGTTTGTACTGTTTCTGTTTTTATAATGATTATTGGGAGTTTGTGTTTCCATGGCAACACCATAAGTCTAAACCAAACTATTTCAGTGACATCACTTATGACATCCTGACACACTGAAGCGATGACATCATTGGCTTTGATGAATGTTCCGTCACAGAAGATCAAAGAGATCTGTGATGTCATGATGATGTCACAGAAGATCAAAGAGATCTGTGATGTCATGATGATGTCACAGGAGATCAAAGAGATCTGTGATGTCATGATGATGTCACAGGAGTCTGAAGGAAGACTGCAAGGGCTGTGATGTGCATTCACTCCACACTCTTCCCTCCAGAGCTGTAAGTGGTGACACGCATTCAGACCACCTTCGCAGACTTCTACACAGAACACTTCTTCCAAAGAGAAATATATTATTCTACCTACGCACAACACAAGTCTACAGACGGTGCCATGGATAGAAGAAGCCACCAGAACAACAGGGGAAACCCCAGGCCATTCGACCATGGAGCTGAAGCGGATCGAGCTTACAGGCAGGTCCACTGCAGAAACGGCCAGATAAACGGCCTGGAGGAGTATCGTGGGGCATTTCAGGAGGAGAGGACGACATTTTGCCACAGTATGCGCAAACAAAAAGACAAGGTCAAACGTCTCGAGGAGCTCCTGAGCTACAGGGACTCAGGGCTCCACAAAGAGAACAAAAGGCTGGTTGACACCATCATGGAGCATGAGGCAGAAATCTCACGTCTAAATGGGAATATTGAAAATGCAGAATGCCAACACAAGAGGCAGCTGGACCAAATTGTGGCAAGGCATGAGGCAGAGAAAGGAAATGTCTCAGACGAGAAGGACCAGGCGACATCTGACAGCGAGAACAATGATGTTCCCCTGCAGTGTGACCCAGAGATCATCAAACTGAGGATGAGGAAAGGGGAGACCATGAAAGAGCTGATAAGAAAAGGGGAAGAACTCCTTGAGTGTGTGACCATCTTGGAGGATAGAAACAGCGGTCTGGAGGAGAAGATGGAAGCTGCAGAGCTTCAACACAAAGAGCAGCTGGAAGACACAGTGGCATTGTATGAGACACAGAAACAGAAGCTCTCAGACCAACACAACGAGGCCAACCTGGTGACTTTAAACCTGCTGCAGAGAAGAGAGGAACAACTCCTTCAATGCGAGGAAAAGGTCACCAAGAGCCTGGCCGAAAAGACTCTCACCTGGGAGAGTGAGAAGCAAGAGATGGTGATGAAGTTGAAAGAGGTGGAGAAGAAGAAAAATTACCAGGCCAGTAGAAACAAGACCTTGGAGACGGAATTCCTACAGATGGAGGCCCAGTTGAAAAGGCAAGAGGAAGAGTTCTCTAAAGACCTGGCCGATAAGAGTCACACCTGGGAGACTGAGAAGCAACAGATGGAGACAACACTAAATGAGGTGACTCAGGAAAAGAACGACATGGCCAAGGTAACCCTGACCTTGGAGACTGAGTTCAAACAGGTGGAGGCTAAATTAAAGCAGGTGGAAAAGGAGAAAGATCGCCTGGCCGAGAATAACCTGGGCTGGGAGACGGACGTCAAACAGCTGAAAGAACAGATGAGAGAGCAGGAGGAGAAGTTCTCCAAAGACCTGGCTGAAAAACAGCTGAACTGGGAGCAGTTTGTCCAACGCAAGGAGACGGATGTCAAGCAGTTGGAAAACCAATTGGAAGAGCAGAAGAAGAAGCTCTCCAAAGACCTGGCCCAGAACCAGGAGAGCTGGGAGACCAAGCTTCATCTGACGGAGACACAACTGAAACAGGTGGAGGAGCAGAGGGACGACCTGGCTCAGAGAAGACTGAGCTGGGCAACGACTGAGAAAAAGATGGAGGAGGAAAAGAAACTTCTGGAAGACCTCTGTCTTCACATGAAGAATAAGAGCAGAGGTTTCTTCTCTCACAGAAGGGGGGAGACTGAGGATAGAGACGTTGCCTTGCAGAAAATGATAAGCAAGATGCAAGAGAAGGAGATGAGGAAGAAAAGAAAATGTCTGCTTTGCGAAACAAATGTCCTATTTGTTCCGTATGTAGCAGTCCAATAAGAAGGACCATCTTGCGCTTGCAAACACCTCCTCAGAGAAGATGGAGAAGATGGAGGAAGCTTCTGGTGATTCAGCTCCAGCTGGACAACAGTAACTCCCTGCCTCCATTTCCCTCACCTCACTCCACCCTCCAAAGCGTCTTTGAATTCAAGAAAAGCGCTATATAAATGTAATGTATTGTTGGATCTTCCCCCGCATACAGTGTTCCTGAAGTGCAAGTCGAAACAACATTTCAGAAAACACTACAGCATTTCACATTTTACAGAACGGGTATTCCTTTAAGGAGAACACTTGTTGTTTGTGATTGGACAGAGCCAGCCAGAGAAGCACTGCTGTGATTGGCTGTTTTTGCTGCCAGTTAAGAAATGACGCTTCATGATTGGTCAGCACCCGGCCGACAGCACCACGTATTTCCTGTTTGGTACTGGTCAGCTGTTTCTTCACGAATTGTAAACTGAGTTGGAAAGAATGGAAGAAGAGATGGAACGAAGGATATACATACGATGTTATCCTCGACATGCTGTCAACCCATCACGACATCTACATGTCCCTTAGAACCAGGGGTGTAGTGCTTGTGACTACCCCATTTGCATCTTTGCCCGATTTGCATTGCGCAAGCGCGAGATGGTCCGCCATATTGGACAGCTACATACGGCAACCCAAATAGGACACTTGACAGTGGCGTTTGGCAAAGCAGAAAAAGAAAACTAAAAAAACCTGACAACATTAATCTCAACGATATATATATATAATTCCAAAGCTGGTAAAGACCTTTCAAATTTAGCAATAATTGTAATATAAGAAAACTACTGATCTAACAGAGATGTGTTCTTGAATCAACTTTTTTTTTTTTTATGGAAAATCTTTTATGTAATTTTATTTAATTTGAAATAAAATGTTAACATTCATAGTTAATGTAATTACATATAAATTATTAATGCCAAACATTTTTGCATACATTCACAGTAAATATTTCTTCAGTATGATAACTGTCTAACAGAAGATAAATCAATTTCTCACTTATTCCAAGAATGTAATCAACCCAATAAAAGTATTTGTTAAATAATAGTGAAGTCACGTTGTAATAACAATAACTCTCTCTCTCGTTCAGATTAATGTTGTCGGGTTTTTTGGAAAAAAAATGTCTGCTTTGCGAAACAAATGTCCTATTTGGTTTGCCGTATGTAGCTGTCTAATATAGCGGACCATCTTGCGCTTGCGCAATGCAAATCGGGCAGAGATGCAAATCAGGTAGTCACAGCTGCCGGAGCACCGCTTTACCGGTTGTTAGCATCTGGTTAGCTAGCTATGCTAACGTACATAAGCAGTTGTTTCTACAACAAGGTGGAGGAGAGTCCTCTCCTGTCAGACTGAGAGGATCTTATAACTACAGCTCAGTGAGCTAAAGGACTCTCTGAGTGTTTAGATAGATAACTTTAGTCTAAGCTATCTCAGTGGGTCTCAAACGGTTTGGTCACCATTTATGTAAACAAGTATTTCCAAAGCACACCTTTTTATTATCATTATAAAAAATAAGAGAATAAATAAAAATAGGTATGAAATAATTCCAACTCATTCTATAGGACAGTAAAACTAAAATACAGTTTAAAAGGGGAGTGATTAGTAAGATATGCTTAAAGAAAAAGTACTTCTGGTTACAGTACTGTTTCACATGGGTGTTGTTGAGAGATGTATCCATAGATTTAGTCCCTAACTTTGCTCTCAAAGTGCACCAGATTGAATTTAACTTTAACTTTTAAAAAATCATCTTCCCGGGGGAGCATGCCCCCGGACCCCCCTAGAGGATGTGAGGTCCACCACCCACTAACAAAAGGGTCACATGGACAGGATTCTAAATACATTTGCACACTTTTGATATAGTAACCTATGTCCATATGTTGCTGTTTTGTTGGTCTAGGTGCGCTCCTGCAATTATAAAAATAGCACTACACCCCTGCTTAGAACCCTGAAAGCGCGGTTTAAAGAGTTAGGACTGAGGACACCTCACTGACTTTATTTATTTTATCCTTTTATGTTTAAAGTGTGCTATATAAATCAAATGTATTATTATTATTAATATTATTATTATTACTGAGCTGTAGTTATAAGATCCTCTCAGTCTGACAGGAGAGGACTCTCCTCCACCTTGTTGTAGAAACAACTCCTTATGTACGTTGGCATAGCTAGCTAACCAGATGCTAACAACCGGAGCGGCGATCCGGCAGCACTACACCCCTGGTTCTAAGGGACATGTAGATGTCGTGATGGGTTGACAGCATGTCGAGGATAACATCGTATGTATATCCTTCGTTCCATCTCTTCTTCCATTCTTTCCAACTCAGTTTACAATTCGTGAAGAAACAGCTGAACAGTACCAAACAGGAAGTACGTGGTGCTGTCGGCCGGGTGCTGACCAATCATGAAGCGTCATTTCTTAACTGGCAGCAAAAACATCCAATCACAGCAGTTCTTCTCTGGCTGGCTCTGTCCAATCACAAACAAGAAGTGTTCTCCTTAAAGGAATACCCTTTCCGTAAAATGTGAAATGTTGAAGTGTTTTGTGAAATGTTGTTTTGACTTGCACTTCAGGGCCACCGTACCCCTCTTCCACTTTTGGGTTTTCTCCTGGAGCTCAGGTTCGCCCGCAACTAATTTTCCTGATACAATTAGGATTAAAATTAGGATTAGAAAGATTTGATTTTAAAATAAAATAAAAATTCAAATCTATTTTTGTACGCGTGTGCCTCACTGTGTAAACATATACAGTATACATGATTTACTGTATCACATTTTGGTTACTAAAGTACTTCTATTTAGCCATTGTATGTTTAATCAACACTTTCATAAATAAAACAACCCATGGTATGAAATATAAAATTGTGTTTTTATATTTGTCTCACTGTACACATTCAATTCCATTATATATGTTTATATTTTGTAAATGTGTTCATACAAGCTGGTCAAATATTCTGGGACTGTAATACTCAGAATGTGTAGGTGAAGAGCGGAACATGTAATTGTATTGACTGAAACATGGTGCCACTCACCTCAATAGAGTCAAATAAAAACTGAAAATGTATATATGCCTTATGTGATGTGCTTTTAATTCAACAACACAAACATTTAAAACCTCACTTAAATAGAAATGCGTAATTATTATCTGCAAAACTTTGGTAAAAAATCCTCGCTGTCAGGGTTTCACTAACAAATAGTTTATTTATCTTGAGAAGTAGGAAGATTTCTAAACCCAATAACAGACACAAGTTAATGAAAACTCACATTTAAAATCACCTAATTATGGTATGGATAGGGTTACGGTTAGGGTTAGTACAAAGTGTACAGTATATCTAAAAGAAGTCACTAAAGCGGTAAGAAAAACGTAACTGAGTAAAAAGTAAAATATTGACCTGTGAGATGAAGTGATTTAGAAAAGTATAAATAAGATGGAAATACCTAAGTACTTTTATTTTCTACTTAAGTATATCACTTAGGGAACACTGGAAAATATGATATTATAATATTATGATTAATAGCCAAGGCTCTAGATTACAAAGTGTTTATAATACAGTACATTATTGTATGCGGTCACGGCTGTGGGATTACATACGGTGGGTTTAAAGGGGACATTAAGTCTCTGAGTGCCTCTATTATGGCTACACAGTTTATCAAAGACAATTATGACTGTTTCTGATTTCCATAAACTCTTTGGGGGACATGCCATTCATGTTACAGAGCTTGGACTTCATCATGATTGACACCAAACGTAAAGACTGTTGACACCATTGGTGTCACAGCAATATCGTGTTTCGGCCCCTCAGATTTGGAGATGAGCTGTTCGGGGCCGAAGCATTAACCATCATGTGACGTTTGGGCCGTTTGGAGCCTGTCAGCTGGCGTTAGGAGATAATCACCTTCCATGGAAAGGGATCACATAGCCATCAGGCGAGAGTCAAAATGGGCGCCACTAACTTTTCATCTGCCAGGTCTTGAGATGCTACTGTCAAGATTTGAAGACGATTGGATAAAATCCCTAGGAGGAGTTTGTTGTTAAAGTACGGTGCACTTTTCTGTCCCCAGAGTCAGAACCAAACATGGAGGAGTTCAGTTATTATGCTCCAAATATCTGGAACAAACTCCCAGAAACCTGCAGGTCTGCTGAAACACTGAGTACTTTTAAATCAAGGATGAAGACTTTTCTTTTTGATGCTGCTTATAATTGAACTATTCATATCTTACACTGCACTGTAACTTTTATCCATGTATTTAATATCTGTGTTATTCTATATTAGCTTGTTTTTTTGGAGGGCGCTTTGAATTGCCTTGTGTTGAAAGGTGCTTTATAAATAAACTTGCCTTGCTGGAAAAACCCTCCACACAACAACACACAGTCCACGCTAAATACACATATTATGGGACATTAAAAAAGTTACTTTAGTTAAAAAGTACTATCTTCAGTGGTAAAAATGTATTTATATTCATTTTCTCACATCTAGTATAGACACTTTTTGAGTTTGCATCTTCATGGTTACATGCACTTATTGTTATTTAAATGGTAAAAGCATCAGCAAAGTGTAATGGGAACATATGTACCATTCTGTGAGAGAGTCTGAAGGCATCTGCACGCCTGCATCGACTTCTAAACAACAACAAAACACCATTTATAAACATGTTGCAGTAGCAGGAATATAGGCTTATAATATACTGTATATACATATGATAGTATATCATTTACAGATATACATAAGACTTGCCAATTGTAATCAGGAAGGAGAAACTCAACGTTACCTTTTGCACGGAGGAGGAGGCGAGCGTCAGCAGGGACTTCAACAGGAAGTGACTCCCGATGCTCAGCAGCTTCCGGTGGAGCTCCCGAGCAGAAGAGATGTTGCAGAGGGCGGAGCAGCTGTAGAACTGGACCTCTGAGTCTGAGCCCTGCAGCAGCAGAACCAGAACCGGGAACCCGCCCGCATCACCCAGCAGCCTCCTGGACCAATCTGGAGGAAGAGAGAGAGAGAGAGGAGCAACAACAGAAAAACACATCTGCTTTTGTTAAATCTGTGAGGATTAAAAGGTCACCTATTAAGTCAAAATCCTCTCGCTCATGTCTCTTCTACATCAACATGTGTCCCCTCTTCTTCATGTCTCTTCTACATCAACAGTGGTCCCCCATCTTCTTTCATGTCGCTTCTACATCAACATGTGGTTCCCCTCTTCTTCATGTCTCTTCTAGCATCAACATGTGTCCCCTCATTCTCCATGTCTCTTCTACATCAACATGTGTCCCTCTCTTCTTCATGTCTCTTCTACACAACATGTGTCCCTCTCTTTCATGTCTCTTCTACATCAACATGTGTCCCCTCTTCTTCATGTCTCTCTCTTCTACTCAACATGTGTCCCCTCTTCTTCAAATGTCTCTTCTACATCAACATTTGGTCCCCTCTTCTTCAGGTCTCTTTCTACATCAACATGTGTCCCCTCTTCTTCAATGTCTCTTCTACATCAACATGGGTCCTCCTCTTCATTCTCTTCTACATCAACATGTTCCCCTCTTCTCCATGTCTCTCTACATCAACATGTGTCCTCTCTTCTCATTCTCTTCTACATCAACATGTGTCCCTCTCGTCTTCATGTCTCTTCTACATCAAACATGGTGTCCCCTCTTCTTCATGTCTCTTCTAACAATCAACATGTGGTCCCCTCTTCTTCATGTCTCTTCTAACTCAACATGTGTCCCCGTCTTCTTCATGTCTCTTCTAACAATCAACATGTGTCCCTCTTCTTCATGTCTCTTCTACATAACATGTGTCCCCTCTTCTTCATGTCTCTTCTACATCAACATGGTGTCCCCTCTTCTTCATGTCTCTTCTACAATCAACATGTGTCCCCTCTTCTTCATGTCTCTTCTACATCAACATGTGTCCCCTCTTCTTCATGTCTCTTCTACTCAACATGTGTCCCCTCTTCTTCATGTCTCTTCTACATCAACATGTGTCCCTCTTCCTCTTTCTACATCAACTAGTGTCCCTCTTCTCATGCTCTCAATCAACATGTGTCCCCCTCTTCTTCATGTCTCTTCTACATCAACATGTGTCCCCTCTTCTTCATGTCTCTTCTACATCACATGTGTCCCCTCTTCTTCATGTCTCTTCTACATCAACATGTGTCCCCTCTTCTTCATGTCTCTTCTTACATCAACATGTGTCCCCTCTTCTTCATGTCCTCTTCTACATCAACATGTGTCCCCCTCTTCTTCATGTCTCTTCTACATCAACATGTGTCCCCTCTTCTTCAATGTCTCTTCTACATCAACATGTGTCCCCTCTTCTTCATGTCTCTTCTAATCAACATGGTCCCCTCTTCTCATGTCTCTTCTACATCAACATGTGTCCCTCTTCTTCATGTCTCTTCTACATCAACATGTGTCCCCTCTTCTTCATGTCTCTTCTACATCAACATGTGTCCCTCTCTCTCTCTTCTATCAGTGGTGGCCTCTTCTACATCAACATGTGTCCTCTCTTCTTCATGTCTCTTCTACATCAACATGTGTCCCCTCTTCTTCATGTCTCTTCTACATCAACATGTGTCCCCTCTTCTTCATGTCTCTTCTACATCAACATGTGTCCCCTCTTCTTCATGTCTCTTCTACATCAACATGTGTCCCCTCTTCTTCATGTCTCTCTACCTCAACATGTGTCCCCTCTTCTTCATGTCTCTTCTCCATCACATGTGTCCCCCTCTTCTTCAGTCTCTTCTACATCAACATGTGTCCCTCTCTCTTCTCATCAACATGTGTCCCTCTTCTTCATGTCTCTTCTCCATCAACATGTGTCCCCTCTTCTTCATGTCTCTTCTACATCAACATGTGTCCCCTCTTCTTCATGTCTCTTCTTCATCAACATGTGTCCCCTCTTCTTCATGTCTCTTCTACATCAACATGTGTCCCCTCTTCTTCATGTATCTTCTACATCAACATGTGTCCCCTCTTCTTCATGTCTCTTCTACATCAACATGTGTCCTCTCTTCTTCATGTCTCTTCTACATCAACATGTGTCCCCTCTTCTTCATGTCTCTTCTACATCAACATGTGTCCCCTCTTCTTCACGTCTCTTCTACATCAACATGTGTCCCCTCTTCTTCACGTCTCTTCTCCATCAACATGTGTCCCCTCTTCTTCTTGTCTCTTCTACATCAACATGTGTCCCCTCTTCTTCATGTCTCTTCTACATCAACATGTGTCCCCTCTTCTTCATATCTCTTCTACATCAACATGTGTCCCCTCTTCTTCATGTCTCTTCTACATCAACATGTGTCCCCTCTTCTTCATGATCTCTTCTACATCAACATGTGTCCCCTCTTCTTCATGTCTCTTCTACATCAACATGTGTCCCCTCTTCTTCATGTCTCTTCTACATCAACATGTTCCCCTCTTCTTCATGTCTCTTCTACATCAACATGTGTCCCCTCTTCTTCATGTCTCTTCTACAATCAACATGTGTCCCTCTTCTTCATGTCTTCTTCTACATCAACATGTGTCCCCTCTTCTCTTCATGTCTCTTCTACATCAACATGTGTCCCCCTCTTCTTCATGTCTCTTCTACATCAACATGTGTCCCCTCTTCTTCATGTCTCTTCTACATCAACATGTGTCCCCTCTTCTTCATGTCTCTTCTACATCAACATGTGTCCCCTCTTCTTCATAGTCTCTTCTACATCAACATGTGTCCCTCTCTTCAGGTCTCTTCTACATCAACATGTGTCCCCTCTTCTTCATGTCTCTCTTCATCAACATGTGTCCCCTCTTCTTCATGTCTCTTCTACATCAACATGGTGTCCCCTCTTCTTCTTGCCTCTTCTACATCAACATGTGTCCCTCTTCTTCATGTCTCTTCTACATCAACATGTGTCCCCTCTTCTTCATGTCTCTTCTACATCAACATGTGTCCCCTCTTACTTCATGTCCTTCTTTCTAACATCAACATGTGTCCCCTCTTCTTCATGTCTCTTCTACATCAACATGTGTCCCTCTCTTCTTCATGTCCTCTTCTACATCAACATGTGTTCCCTCGTCTTCTCCATGTCTCTTCTACATCAACATGTGTCCCCTCTTCTTCATGTCTCTTCTACATCAACATGTGTCCCCTCTTCTTCATGTCTCTTCTACATCAACATGTGTCCCCTCTTCTTCATGTCTCTTCTACATCAACATGTGTCCCCTCTTCTTCATGTCTCTTCTACATCAACATGTGTCCCCTCTTCTTCTTCTTCTAAACAGTGTCCGTCTTCTTACATCAACATGTGTCCCCCCTCTTCTTCCATGTCTCTTCTACATCAACATGTGTCCCCTCTTCTTCATGTCTCTTTCTACATCAACATGTGTCCCTCTTCTTCATGTCTCTTCATCAACATGTGTCCCCTCTTCTTCATGTCTCTTCTACATCAACATGTGTCCCCTCTTCTTCATGTCTCTTCTACATCAACATGTGTCCCCTCTTCTTCATGTCTCTTCTACATCAACATGTGTCCCCTCTTCTTCATGTCTCTTCTACATCAACATGTGTCCCCTCTTCTCATGTCTCTTCTACATCAACATGTGTCCCCTCTTCTTCATGTCTCTTCTACATCAACATGTGTCCCCTCTTCTTCATGTCTCTTCTACATCAACATGTGTCCTCTCTTCTTCATGTCTCTTCTACATCAACATGTGTCCCCTCTTCTTCATGTCTCTTCTACATCAACATGTGTCCCCTCTTCTTCATGTCTCTTCTACATCAACATGTGTCTCTTCTTCATGTCTCTTCTACATCAACATGTGTCCCCTCTTCTTCATGTCTCTTCTACATCAACATGTGTCCCCTCTTCTTCATGTCTCTTTACATCAACATGTGTCCCCTCTTCTTCATGTCTCTTCTACATCAACATGTGTCCCCTCTTCTTCATGTCTCTTCTACATCAACATGTGTCCCCTCTTCTTCATGTCTCTTCTACTATCAAACATGTGTCCCCTCTTCTTCATGTCTCTTCTACATCAACATGTGTCCCCTCTTCTTCATGTCTCTTCTTACATCAACATGTGTCCCATCTTCTTCATGTCTCTCTACATCAACATGTGTCCCTCTTCTTCATGTCTCTTCTACATCACATGTGTCCCCTCTTCTTCATGTCTCTTCTACATCAACATGTGTCCCTCTCTATTCTCTGCTCAATTCTCGTCTCATGTCTCTTCTACATCAACATGTGTCCCCTCTTCTTCATGTCTCTTCTACATCAACATGTGTCCCCTCTTCTCATGTCTCTTCTACATCAACATGTGTCCTCCTCTTCTTCTTCATGTCTCTTCTACATCACATGTGTCCCCTCTTCTTCATGTCTCTTCTTCTACATCAACATGTGTCCCTCTCTTCTTCATGTCTCTTCTACATCAACATGTGTCCCCTCTTCTTCATGTCTCTTCTACATCAACATGTGTCCCCTCTTATTCATGTCTTCTACATCAACATGTGTCCCTCTTCTTCATGTCTCTTCTACATCAACATGTGTCCCCTCTTCTTCATGTCTCTTCTACATAACATGTGTCCCCTCTTCTTCATGTCTCTTCTTCATCAACATGTGTCCCCTCTTCTTCATGTCTCTTCTACATCAACATGTGTCCCCTCTTCTTCATGTCTCCTCTACATCAACATGTGTCCCCCTCTTCTTCATGTCTCCTTCTACATCAACATGTGTCCCCTCTTCTTCATGTCTCTTCTAACATCAACATGTGTCCCCTCTTCTTCATGTCTCTTCTACCATCAAACATGTGTCCCCTCTTCTTCATGTCTCTTCTACATCAACATGTGTCCCCTCTTCTTCATGTCTCTTCTACATCAACATGTGTCCCCTCTTCTTCATGTCTCTTCTACATCAACATGTGTCCCCATCTTCCTTCATGTCTCTTCTACATCAACATATGTCCCCTCTTCTTCATGTCTCTTCTACATCAACATGTGTCCCCTCT